TGGATCGTTCCTTTGGCAGCTAAATGTACTAAAGTTCCGATCTTAATATGATTTTGCCTATATATGAGGAGTATAGTAAAAGTAATAAATCGAATTGCACGTATTGTTTGAATCGCGGTTATAGTCAGCGGGTGTACTCCGAAGCAGCCTTCGTAATTACAGATAACTTTTCATTCAGATCAGCAGTAATTTTACTTCATATTAGTTTCGAAGTGTAATCTCATTCATGTGTGTTTTTGCCCAGATTGAGTTTAGTTTTATAAAAAAAAAGGAAAACGTTGTTCCTCTCACGTAATGTATAATGAAGTTTAAATTTTCTTTGAATACAATTATATGATAAAATGGAATCTTAATTCTTTTTTGGGCACCTTAGGCAAATAATATCGCATCCAAAGGGTAGTTGCAATGACAATCGCAGATGCAGCTACAGGCAGGGTGGGTGAAGACCGATGGTAGCCAACATCTTAGCTCCTCGGCTCTATATGATATATTCTGCTTGCAGATCGTAGTCGCTCCTTATATATCGTGGTATTCCGTCATACCTTAACTCTGTCTACCTTTTTTTTCTTTATTATACTTGACGCGTCTAGTGTGTTAGGGAGCAAAAGGACCCACGCCCCTTCCCTGAGCACGGTCGGAACCCGTAGACGGAGTACGCTCCCAATGCACAACACGAGTGTTAGGCGAGACGCGCCCAGCGTAACCGTCGTGTTCGTTACAATATCTTGAAAAAAGAAATGTTTTTTCATACAACTTAATTTTTGTCCGATCGTTCCTATGGCATCTATATGATATAGTGGTCCGATCTTAATAGGATATTGCATATATATGAGGAGTATAGTAAAACTAATAAATGTCGAGTTTGGTCAAGATATCTAAAAAATAAAAATGTTTTTTCATACAACTACTTAATTTTCGACGGATCGTTCCTTTGGCAGCTATATGATATAGTGGTCTGATCTTAATTGGATTTTGCATATATATAAGGAGAAAAGTAAAACTAATAAATGCCGAGTTTGGTCAAGATATCTTGAAAACAAAATGTTTTTTCATACAACAACTTAAGTTCCGACCGATCGTTCCTATTACAAATATATGATATAGTGGTCCGATCTTAATAGGATTTAGCATACGTATGAGGAGCACAGTAAAACTAATAAATGCCGAGTTTGGTCAAGATATCTTGATAGACAAAATGTACTTTCATACAAAAACTTAATTTTCGACCGATCGTTTCTATGGCAGCTATATGATATAGTGGTCCGATAGTAATAGGATTTTGCATATATATGAGGAGTATAGTAAAACTAATAAATGCCGAGTTTGGTCAAGATATCTTGAAAATCAAAATGTTTTTTCATACAACAACTTAAGTTGCGACCGATCGTTCCTATGGCACCTATATGATATAGTGGTCCGATCTTAATTGGAATTTACATATATATATGGACTAAAGTAGAACTAATAAATGCCGAGTTTGGTCAAGATATCTAAAAAATAAAAATGTTTTTTCATACAACAACTTAATTTTCGACGGATCGTTCCTATAGCAGCTATATAATATAGTGGTCCGATCTTAATTGAAAGTTGCATATATATAAAGAGTAAAGTAGAACTAATAAATGCCGAGTTTGGTAAAGATATCTTGATAAACAAAATGTATTTTCAAAAAAAAAAACTTAATTTTCCATCGATCGTTCCTATGGCAGCTATATTATATAGTGGTCCGATCTTAATAGAATATTGCATATATATGAGGAGTATAGTAAAACTAATAAATGTCGAGTTTGGTCAAGATATCTAAAAAATAAAAATGTTTTTTCATACAACAACTTAATTTTCGACGGATCGTTCCTATGGCAGCTATATGATATAGTAGTCCGATCTTAATATGATTTTGCCTTTCTATGAGGGGAATATTAAAACTAATAAATGTCGCGTTTGGTCAAGATATCTTGAAAAAAAATTGTATTTTCATACAACTTAATTTTTGACCTATTGTTCCTATGGCAGCTATATGATATAGTGTTGCGATATAAATAGGATCTTGCATATATATGAGGTAATTAGTAGAACTAATAAATGCAAACATTGTTCAAGATATCTTGAGAAACAAAATGTTTTTTCATACAACTTAATTTTCGACCGATCGTTCCTATATGATATAGTGGTCCGATGTTGATAGGATTTTGCATATGTATAAGGAGCATAGTCAAACTAATAAATGCCGAGTTTGCTAAAGATATCTTGATAAACAAAATGTATTTTCATAAAAAATACTTAATTTTCCATCGATCGTACCTATGGCAGCTATATTATATAGTGGTCCGATCTTAATAGAATATTACATATATATGAGGAGCATAGTAAAACTAATTAAAGCCGAGTTTGGTAAAGATATCTTGATAAAAAAAATGTATTTCCATACAAAAACTTCATTTTCGACCGATCGTTCCTATGGCAGCTATATTATATAGTGGTCCGATCCTAATAGGATATTGCATATATATAAAGAGTAAAGTAGAACTAATAAATGCCGAGTTTGGTAAAGATATCTTGATAAACAAAATGTATTTTCAAAAAAAAAAACTTAATTTTCCATCGATCGTTCCTATGGCAGCTATATTATATAGTGGTCCGATCTTAATAGAATATTGCATATATATGAGGAGTATAGTAAAACTAATAAATGTCGAGTTTGGTCAAGATATCTAAAAAATAAAAATGTTTTTTCATACAACAACTTAATTTTCGACGGATCGTTCCTATGGCAGCTATATTATATAGTGGTCCGATCTTAATATGATTTTGCCTTTCTATGAGGGGAATATTAAAACTAATAAATGTCGCGTTTGGTCAAGATATCTTGAAAAAAAATTGTATTTTCATACAACTTAATTTTTGACCTATTGTTCCTATGGCAGCTATATGATATAGTGTTGCGATATAAATAGGATCTTGCATATATATGAGGTAATTAGTAGAACTAATAAATGCAAACATTGTTCAAGATATCTTGAGAAACAAAATGTTTTTTCATACAACTTAATTTTCGACCGATCGTTCCTATATGATATAGTGGTCCGATGTTGATAGGATTTTGCATATGTATAAGGAGCATAGTCAAACTAATAAATGCCGAGTTTGCTAAAGATATCTTGATAAACAAAATGTATTTTCATAAAAAATACTTAATTTTCCATCGATCGTACCTATGGCAGCTATATTATATAGTGGTCCGATCTTAATAGAATATTACATATATATGAGGAGCATAGTAAAACTAATTAAAGCCGAGTTTGGTAAAGATATCTTGATAAAAAAAATGTATTTCCATACAAAAACTTCATTTTCGACCGATCGTTCCTATGGCAGCTATATTATATAGTGGTCCGATCCTAATAGGATATTGCATATATATGAGGAGTATAGTAAAACTAATAAATGTCGAGTTTGTTCAAGATATATAGAAAATAAAAATGTTTTTTCATACAACAACTTAAGTTCCGACCGATCGTTCCTATGGCAGCTATATGATACAGTGGTCAGATCTTAATAGGATTTTGCATATGTATGAGGAGCATAGTAAAACTAATAAATGCCGAGTTGTTGATAGACAAAATGTATTTTCAAACAACTTAATTTTCGACCGATCGATCCTATGGAACCTATATGATATAGTGGTACGATGTTTATAGGATTTTGCATATGTATGAGGAGCATAGTAAAACTAATTAATGCCGAGTTTGGTAAAGATATCTTGATAAACAAAATGTATTTCCATACAAAAACTTAATTTTCGACCGATCGTTCCTATGGCAGCTATATTTTATAGTGGCCCGATCTAAATAGGATATTGCATATATATGAGGAGTATAGTAAAACTAATAAATGACGAGTTTGGGCAAGATATCTAAAAAATAAAAATGTTTGTTCGTACAACAACTTAATTTTCGATGGATCGTTCCTTTGGCAGCTAAATGTACTAAAGTTCCGATCTTAATATGATTTTGCCTATATATGAGGAGTATAGTAAAAGTAATAAATGTCGAGTTTGGTCAAGATATCTTGAAAAACAAAATGTTTTTTCATACAACAACTTAATTTTCGACCGATCGTTCCTATGGCAGCTACATGATATTGTGGTCCGATCTTAATTGGATTTTGCATATATATAAGGACTAAAGTAGAACTAATAAGTGCCGGGTTTGGTCAAGATATCTTGAAAAACAAAATGTTTTTTTATACAACAACTTAAGTTTCGACCGATCGTTTCTATGGCAGCTATATGATATAGTGGTCCGATCCAGCTGGTTTTGACATATGTGCTGCTTGCAACAGATAAAGGGACTTTTGCAAAGATTCATTAAGATAGCTTTAAAACTGAGAGACTAGTTTGCATAGAAACAGACTGACGGTCAGACGGACATGGCTATATCGACTCGGCTGTTGATACTGATCAAGAATATATATACTTTATGGGCTCAGAGATGTCTTCTTCTATGCGTTACACATTTCACGACAAAATTATAATACCTTCTTCAAGGGTAATATTTATTTGAATAAAGCTCCTACTTTTTGCAAATTTTTGGTTATAATATTAACTTTAATTGTTTATTGCTCTTAAAATTTTGCCGCACGTAAAGTTCTAATTTTTTCATTAAATTTGTATATTGTCTTAAATGAAGTTATAATATTTGTTATATCTACTATGTTTCACCCATTTTCCCTGGGTTAGGGGAATAAAAAAAGTGATTTCCCTCTCTCGGTGGCGAAACAGCCACAAACGAGTGTGAGAAAACATGTTTTCTTATGTGTGAGAATTTGTAAAAGGAAGTTGAAATTTTTGCGACGGTGGTTCGGCGGGGTGTTTTGAGAATGTCTTCAAAGTGCACTTTAGACCACATATTTATTTAATATAATTAAATTAATTATTATAAAGAGACCAATAAGATCGGCCAAAACCAGCCAAGGTGAATTCATCATACATAAATACTTACTTGATATTTGTATATTAGCTCACTTTGTAATACCAATTTCAGTGACCGGTGTTTATCCGATGATGAGTATTTAAGTGGTAGCTGATGTATATTTTTACTGAAATTTTAAGAAAATACTAATTTGGGCTTGTATGCCTACTTTTGTATACCCTGAACCCATTGAAAATGAGAAAGAAAGGCTATCTTCGGCATGCCGAAGATCTAATACCCTTGCAGACCCAACCTTTTCATAATGCTTATAGTGATTTGCCCGTATCAAAGAAGCACAGGGTAAATAGTTAATGCCGAGTTTGGGAAAGATATATTAAAAAGCAAAATAGGTTTGTAATCGAAAACCTAGTTTTCTACCGATCGTTCCTGTGGCAGCTATTTGAAATAGTGTACCGATCTTAATAGGAATTTGCATTTATATGAAAAGCATAGTAAAACTAATAAATGCAGACTTTGGGTAAAATATCTTGAAAAACAAAATATTTTCTCATACAACAACTTAATTTTCGACTGATCGTTTCTATGGCAGCTATATGACATAGAGCTCCGATCTTAATATGATTTTGCTTATATATAAGGAGTATAGTAAAACTAATAAATGCCGAGTTTGGTTAAGATATCTTGAAAAACAAAATGTTTTTTCATACAACACCTTAATTTTCGACCGATCGTTCCTATGGCAGCTATGTATATGATATAGTGATATAACTGCCGAGTTTGGTCAAGATATCTTAAAAAACAAAATGTTTTTTCATACAACAACTTAATTTTCGACCGATCGTTCCTATGACAGCTGTATGATATAGTGGTCCGATCTGAATTGGATTTTGCATATATATGAGGAGCATAGTAAAACTAACAAATGCCGAGTTTGGTCAAGATATCTTGATAACCAAAATGTTTTTTCACACAAAAACTTAATTTTCGACCGATAGTTCCTATGGCAGCTATATGATATAGTGGTCCGATCAAGCTGGTTTTGACTTATGTGCTGCGTGCAACAGAAAGAGGGAGTTTTCCAAAGTTTCATTAAGATAGCTTTAAAACTGAGGGACTAGTTCGCATAGAAACAGACAGACGGACAGACGGTGAGACGGACAGACGGACATGGCTATATCGACTCGGCTGTTAATACTGATCAAGAATATATATACTTTATGGGGTCGGAGATGTCTCCTTCTAAGCGTTACATATTTCACGACAAAATTATAATACCCTCTGAAAGGGTATAAAAAATACAATATTTTTGCAAAATGCAAATGTATGTAACAGGCAGAAGGAAGCATCTCCGACCCCATAAAGTACATACATATATTCTTGATCAGCATGTCCGTCTGTCTGTCCGTCCGTCCGTCCGTCCGTATAACGCAATGATCTCAGAACCTATAAGAGCTAGAGACTTACAATTTTAGATGTAGGTGCTCCTAGAGCCTGCGCAGATCGAGTTTGTTTCCGATAATCGATAACTTACTCCGTTTCCAAGCAATCGATAAAAGTTTATATCGACATCCTGTTTTTTGAGCAATTTTGGTAAATAACAAGAGCTAGAGTCACCAAACATATAGCTTCTAAATATAATATACGTATGCATTTAATGTTGGAAGAAGAGGGTTCAGGGTATTCCGTAGTCGGGAGCTCCCGACTATAACCTTTTTTATTTTGCTCCTTTTCACGCCAACTTTGTGTTTATAGTCGGCCATTGCAAAAACACGAGTACGTGGAATGCTTACCAGATTGTTTTTTCCCTTCCTTGCTAACAAGCTGATGAACTTCTCAGCTTATAGGGAAATTTAATATCATGTACAAAGTCATCAGCAATATAGAGAAGATTTGGCAGACATGGGTGCCACCCAGATTCAAACGCTTATTGCCGGAGCAGTAAGCCAGGCCTTTGCCCAACAAAAAAAGGATTCAATGTATTAAAAACTTAAATGAACTCTTTACAGTTAGAGCCACCCCAAGTCGAGGTGTACTAAAGAATCAACGTTAGATATAGAAAAATCGGTACCCGATTGTAATGGTGTTGCAGACGAATACGTAGTACGAGCTTACGAGCTTTGCAAGTCATACGATGGCAGTAGTGGCCATTTCAAAGCCGTTCAAAGCCGTCCGAACAAAATTAGAGGGCCTGCAATAGATAGAACATCGGAACGCCTCCTGCACCAGGGGCCACAGATGGTTAGGCAGGGAAATTTAAGCTAAATGCAGTACAACGGTCAAATGAAACGAAAGCAACCGAGCTCAACAAAAATCGCTCAGAAGCTAGGCAGGGAAAAAAGAACGGAGAGGAACGGGTTAAAAAAAAAACCCCCATTTCGTCAAACGTAACCAAGACCAAAATTAGAAAGAATAGCAAAGTCAAGCCCCAGAACCAGGAAGTTGATTCCTCAGTGAAATTCAAGCAACGCACAGAGTTCGGGAGAGCCCACACAAATATGGCACCGGCTCAAAAACGACAGAACACGTCTGAACGCATGTCAAAGGCGTCAGCTCCTTTGTCACGTCGATCAAAACGCCTCTGACATTCAAGAGGAAAATTATGAAATAACAGCTGCATCTGCAGTTAGTGACATAGAAGATGATAACAATTCCACATACGGCAACGAGTCGTTAAATTTTTTAGTGGGTGCTCCCAGTTACCGGTCATTGAGCGACAGCTGCCTGGGAGAACATTAAAAATTCTAATACTTAGATACAAAGGTGGCAATAAATTTTATAAGGCCCGTAAAGGAGCTAAAAAACATAATTTCTGTCGACAAACCTTTCCCTGTAAGTTTAATAAATGGCTTTAGTAATATCTAAATCAAATGCCTGATGAACATTTTCCAGCAAGTCACCCCATTTTTTACTAGACACGCTCAGTACTTTTGATGTCATCATATGCTTGTACCTACTAACGCGGGCGGTAGTGACATTAAATCTACGAAACAGCACTCTAGAATACCAAAATACATCCGAAAAGTTACGATACAATAACTGTGATAGGGTAAACTTCACAAATGTAATTGACATAGTGGTAACCAGTTCCATTAAAAGGGAATTCAAAAACACGATACTAGAAAGAATAAAAGTGTTTTCGAACTCAAACGAGACACTACCTTTCAATACCTCAGTCCGCCACAGTCAATGGCGAAATCAGACAACTATGGAAAGATGGTATAATTAGGGTCGGGGCCACCTCGCTAAAAAAGAGTTTAAAGACATGATTCTAAAAAGGAAAAAGTCGTTCTCAACCTTTAACGAGGCGTTGCCCTTTTATACTGCAATTGTCGCTACAATTCGTACAATAGATAATGAAGCAGCCTACTTAAAATGATATACCCATTATACCCATTTTTAATGGGTTCAGGGTATAAAAATTAACATTCAGATCGCCGATTGTCACGCGCAATTTACATTCCTGTTTTATAATGGAATTATTAAAAACAAGGTGATTTTATCAGTCACCTTAGCAATCTAACAGACCTAACCAATAGGGTAGATGAAATGCTTAGAAGTTGATGTCGTTCACGTTAGAAGCCTATTGACCGTTGTAAACGTGCACCATAGGATGGCCAGAAGCTTAGACTTCTTGGGCACGACACTCTAAGTTGTAACCGGCACACCAGATACTCTTTTCATTAATGACCTTCCCTCGATATTGTTTCACTCTCGAGTATTAATGTATGCTGATGATGTAAAAGTAAAACCTTACAAGCTGATATTGATGCGTTTCAGGATTGGTGTCTAGCCAACCTTTCAAGCTTAAACTGCTCTAAATGACCTTCTATAGAAGCCCTCCTCAATTGGTTTCTTACATCCTTGACACGTGTTAACAGTACTTCTAATGAAGTTAATGATCTAGGTGTCATACTTGATCATAAACTTAAATTCGACTCTCTCTCAAATGAGTTCGATGATTCTTACACGACAAAAACACTTTGCATATCTTTGGTACGACCTATTCTTGAGTATGCCTTATGTATCTGGTTACCACAATATGCTTTCCATCAGGACATAATTAAATCCGATCAGAAAAAATTCTTGTTGTTTGCCCATCGTGATTTAAATTGGGATCCTCGTGTGCGGTCACCGTCATACTCCAGCAAACTTCTGATGATTAACCATCCTACTTTGATTAACCATGATGGGAGTATTTATTCATGAATTAAATTAAATTTAAAATTCTGTATCCCTACTAGACTTACGCATAATTTTGTACCCTTATAGCTTGAATTTTGCTCAACTGATTATGCTTTGCATGAACCGTTCAGGGTTCTTTGTGATAACTTTAAAATACATTACAGAGTATTCTGTTCGGAGTCTTCTCTTCCTCGTATAAAGTCTTCTATTCTAAACTATTTAGAAGGTAGATAGTCTTATTTATATTTTGTATACCCTTTAGAGGGTATTATAATTTTGTCGTGAAGTGTGTAACGCAGAAAAGGAGACATCTCCAATCCCATAATATATATATATTCTTGACCAGAATCAATAGCCGAGTCGATAGAGCCACGTCCGTCTGTCCGTCTGTCTGTTTCTATGCGAACTAGTCTCTCAATTTACAGCTATCTTTATAAAACTTTGCAGAAGTCCCTCTTTCTGTTGCACGCAGCACATATGTCAAAACCAGCTGGATCGGTTCACTATATTATATAGCTGCCATAGGAACGATCGATCGAAAATTAAGTTTTTGTATGACAACATATTTGTTTGTCAAGATATCTTGACCAAACTCGGCATTTGTTAGTTTTACTATGCTCCTCATATATATGCAAAATCCTATTCAGATCGGACCACTATATCATACAGCTGTCATAGGAACGATCGGTCGAAAAATAAGTTGTTGTATAAAAAACATTTTTGTATATCAAGATATCTTGACCAAGATCTTATAGATGCAAAATCCCATTAACATCGGACCACCATATCATACAGCTGCCATAGGAACGATCGATCGAAAATTAAGTTGTTGTATGAGAAACATTTTCGTTTATCAAGATATCTTGAACGAAATCGGCATTTATTACGTTTATTATGCTCCTCATATATGTGCAAAATATTGTCAACATCAGACCAGTATATCACATAGCTGTCATAGGACCGATCGGTCAAAAATTAAATTGTATAAAAAAAATTTTTGTTTTCTTTAACAAGATATCTCGGCATTAACTATTTTCCCTGTGCGTC